CTCTCTCTCTCATTCCACACACACAATTCCTCACAAACTCTGTTGGCTCTACCTTCAAAGTACATCCAGAATCCCAAATCTCTTCTTACTTCCTACTCTGGTCCAAGACACTATCACTTCTTGCCTGAACAATGGCAGTTGCCTCCTCATAGTTCTCCCTACTTCCAAACGAGCCCCCTACACTCTATTTTCAATATGGCAGCCAACAAATCATCCTTTTAAAATACAAGTTGGATCATGCCACTCCTCTGCTTCCCATCTCACTCACAGCACAATGGAAACCTTTCAATGGCTACAAAGTCCTATGTGATCCAGCTTCTAGTACCTCATCTGACCTCATGAGATGCTCTCCCCCTCATTTGCTGGCCTCCGGGCAATTCTGCAAACATGATAAACACATGCTGCCTGAGGATCTTTGCACTTGCTATCGCATCTGCCTGGAACACTCTTCTTCTAGCTTCATGGTTCTCAAAGCGTGGTCTCCAGACCAGCAGCATCGGCATCCCCTGGGAACTTGTTAGAAATGCAAACTCTCGGGCACCACCCCAGACATACTGAATCATAAATTATGGGGGTGAGGTCCAGCAAACTGTGTTTTAACAAGCTCTCCAGGTAATCTGGATGCACAATAACGTTTGAAAACCACTGTTTTAGACAGCTCCTTAGTTTCTTCAGACCTTTGTTCAAATGTCCTCTTATAAAACAAGAGAGACATTCCTTGATCTCTCTACCTAAAACAGCACTCCCTCAATATCACTCCCGATTTCCTTGTCCTTCATGGCACTTACACTACCTGCCATATTATATATTTGCTCACTAATTTCTTTACTTCTGTCTCCCTGCACTAGTATTCAGGCTTCCTAAGAATCCTTAATGCAAGGAATAGTGCCTGGCACATAGTCCAAGCCAAACCCATTGCCGTCGAGTCAATTCTGACTCACAGCGACCCTATAGGACAGAGAAGAACTGCCCCATAGAGTTCCCAAGGAATGCTTAGTGGATTTAAACTTCTGACCTTTTGGTTAGCAGCCACAGCACTTAACCACTACGCCACCAGGGCACATAGTAGGCACCCAATAAACATGTGCCAAATGCATGAACTCCCTCAAAGCTCAGAAGGGAACTTGGGGCCCAAAGAGGGGTGGGGACTTGCCCAAAGTCACATGGGGAGCTAGGCCTTCTGACTGTCGGCTCAAGACCTGTTTTCTACACCCAGCTCAGCCTGGCTGGTGTGCCCCTCCTCAGAATCGTGGCTCATCGGAGGCCCCCGGCACACTTTCCTTCCCTTTTAAGCTCTGAGTGGTTTAATTTTTGAGCGCTGCTGCCTTTCATGTCCTGAGCTGCGTCCCTGCTCCCTCTGATCTCCGAAGCTGCCCAGGCCCTAGTGCCGCTTGTCGGCCCCGCCCCGCCAGCTCCGATCAGGAGGCTCCATAATTGTGACTGATTTTCAAAGCTGCCTGGAGTCTCTGCAAGCACCCTGGTGTCGGAATTGCTTCCCATTCAAAAAGATGCTCAAAAGACATAAACTAATTTAATTTCTGCTTCTTCCCTCCCCTTCCTGGCCTCCCTACTTGTCCCAATTGAGTCCCTCTCCCTGACTTTCCCCTGAGTGGAAGGTGAGGGTTGGTGGGCTGGGAGAGGGAAGGGAGACAGAGCTGGCTCTGCTGGGGGCTGGCTCTGCCTCTGACTCTGTGGGACCTCAGCCAAGTCCTTTGCCTTCTCTCAGCCTCGGTTTCACCATCTGTGAAACAAGGTCTGGACAGTCTGGGAGCCAAGCCCAGTGATTTGCTCAGTCATGGACTTCCTATGTGACTGTGGGTACATCTCTCTCTGAGCCTCAGTGTTCCCATCTTTTCAATGGGGATGCTATCATCAGTCCTGTGCACCTCTCAGAGTTGACGTGAGAATGAGGTGAGATGGATGAGCCACCATTGTGGATAGAGGGGCTGTGCCTCTACCTGGCACCCCTTCCCCACATCCATTCTCCACACTGCAGAGAGGGAGCTTTCTAAAACGCAAGTCTGCTCATGGCACTTCCTTAAGTCTTTCCCAAGCTATCTGCTTTCCTTGAGCCCTTCAGACATGGTCCTGCTTCCTTCTCCAGCCTCATCTCTCACCACCTTTCTGGCCTTTCCATGCAGCAATATGCAGGTCAGTGTTGGGTGAAGGGAGGCAGGGCCATATCTTCTTGGGCCACAGCTTGAGTCAGCAGGTAGGGAATGCTGGACCTGGAACTGCCTTTGATTTGTTGCATAATCGTGGACAAGTCACTGGCCCCCCGAGCCTCTGTTCCTCCACTTGCAAAATTGATTTCTAAGTTCCCATTGGGCTCTCAAAGTCCATGAGTTTCTGCCACTGACAACTTCCAAATTTCTCTCTCCAGCCCGACCGCTCCCCTGAACCTATATATTCAACTGCCTTTTTCAAGACCTTTGCTCGGCTACTTAGTGTTTCCAACTTAGCATGTCAGAAACCAAACTCCTGATTTACTTCTATCCCCACATCTGTCCCTCCCACTGTGTCCCCTATCTCTGTAAATGGAAATTCCATCTAGCTAATTGCTCACGTCAAAATCCCGATAGCCATCCTTGAATTTTCTTTCTCTCACACCCTATATTCAATCCACTGGCAAAGGCTTTCAGCTCTACTTTCAGAATTTATCCCCAAGTCGACCTCTTTTCAACACCTCCACTGGCACCACCTTGTTCTAAACCACCATCATTTCCTGCCTAGGTGACTGCATATCCTCCTCACTGGGAAACCTGCTTCTGCCCTTGACCCCTTCCCCATTCTAATCTTTATGGAACGGCCATGGGATCCTGTGAAAGCTCAGTCAGCTCACATCACTCCTCTGAACACAACCCTGCACTGACTTCCCAGCTTGCTTAACATGGAACGCAAAGCCCTGACTAAGGTCAGCACGGCTGTATGAGCTGGTCTCCTTCTTGCTGACTCTGCTCCAGCCACACTGGTCCCCCAAATCCCTTGAGGGAATTCAACCTCAGGGCCTCTGCATGAACTGTTTCCTTTTCCCCGGGGGCCCACACCTTCACTTCCTTCAGGTCTTTCAATGGCACCTCCTTCCTAGATCAATGATATATTGACTTACTTGTCTATTGCCTGTCTCCCCCATCTAGAATGTACCTTCCATGACAGAAGGGAGTCTTGTCTGCCTGTTCACTGCTGTGTCCCCAGTGCCCAGAACAAGGCTTAACACATAGTAAGTTCTTAACAAATATTCATTAAACGAACGAATGAACACACTCAGACACATGGCATGTCACACGCATGCACAGGCCTTAAAGTGCCATTCAGCTAGCCACACAGTGCACATCTGCACACGTGTGTGAATGCACATGGACACCAGGCACACGTGTGTACCCGTGTGTGCGTGTATACTAGCCTGCACCCCCACACATGCCCTCACTGCCCTCTCCCTCTGCCCCCATTCTCCCCTATCTGTTTGTGCCCACCACTCTCTCTGGTTCACCTCCTCCTTTCCCATCACTGCTGCCTGCTCGTCACCCACCAGTCTGCCACATTTGGCCATCCTGGGTGGGCTGGGGTCCGACTGCACTCTCCTCCAAGAACCCAAACACCTCTGGCCTCTGACAGCCAGCTGCAGGGCTGAAGGCCGAGAGACAGGCACCTGGAACCCTTGGCCACAGGGAGACAGGGAGTGTGGCCTAAGATGACTTAGGTTAACACTTAGGTGAGGAAGGAGATGGCAGCTGCTCCTTGCACCCCTTGCCCCATGACTCCAGCTTCCACCAGAGCCTCAGGAGCCCAGGCTAGGTGAGGCCTTGATGGTTGGACAGCATCTGGGGTTCCACAGTGGGAGACGGCAGGTTCACCCAACCCTCAGTCTCCGTTCCCCCGTGCTGTGTGAATATGAGTTTCTGAGTCTGGCTGTGTCTGAGGTCTTCTAGTAGCTGTGTGTTTTGGTGGGTGGTGCTCCCTGGCATTTTTCTACGTGTGCAACTGTGTGTGTGTAATGCCCCTGGGTGTTTGCCGTCTTACCTGAGTGTGTGCGTCTGAGTCTGTGTCAGGCTCAGCTGTCTCTGTGGGAGCCTATATTGTGGGTCTTGGTGTGCTGTGGCTTCCCTGTGGGCAGTGAATGAAGCTGGTGGGACGCTGTTGCACCTGGCTATGCCCACGCCTGCCTGGGGCTGCACGCTAATGAAGCTGGCCCAGGACAGTGATGTCTGGGTGTGGCATTTGCCTGTGTCTGTGTAGGTGGCTGTCTGTGGATATCTACATGAGGGGCTGTTTCCTGTGTGGGGTTTCATGCGGCTGTGGCAAGTGTGAAGCTACATTTGGGTTTGCAGTTGGGCCTTGTCTCCACTAGTGTCCCTGTGGTTGTTTGTGGCTATAGGGGTGCCATGTCTAGCTGTGTCTGGACACGTGACTGCATCTGTGTGGGGTCGTGTCTGGGCGTGGAGTTGGGCTCTGGTGAAGGGCTGTGTCAAGGTGGACACTGGGCCTGGGTGAGGGGCTGTGTCAATGTGGGCCTGGGGGTGGCTCTGCACACTGTGCCAGTATGTGGAGCTGTGCTTGTGGGTGGTGTGGGCACAGGTGGACAGGTGAGCTTGTATGTGGTGCTGTGCTTGCGTGTACGGTGGTGTCCAGATACATGGCCATGCCTGTGTGCGTGTGCCTGTGTGTGGGTGGAGGACCACGCCTGAGTGTGTGGCTGTGTCCGTGTGTGGGTCTGTGTCTGCGTAGGGACCACGCCCACATATGTGGCTGAGTCCACATGTGTGGCCTTGTCCAGGTGTGCAGCTGTGCCTGGGTGTATGTGACAGTGTCTGGGAGTATCCTAAGCCATATGGGCACCTGTGCTCACGCCTGTGCCCTCTGCCTGACAGCAGTTCCTGCCTCTTCTGCCCCTCCTCCCAAAAAAACCACTCCCTGCCCCCAGCAGGCTCCCACTCAGGACCTGGCCGCCCCCTCCCAGGGCACATCACCCTGGCTCACCCTACCCCTGGAGCAGAGCCCACCTGTGGGCGAAAGCTCAGCCACGCTGCCAATGTAGGGGCCGTGCAGGAAGCGGGGCTCGCTGTCGTTGATGTCCTGCACCTTGATGATGAACTCCGACTCGGGCTCCAGCAGGCGGTTGGTGGCACGGTCCCGGGCCTGGGCCCGCAGCGTGTAGAAGGTTTTCTGTTCGCGGTCCAGGCGTTCCATGGCGTGGATGTCACCAGTCAGCTCGTCGATCAGGAAGATGGTGCCAGCGCCCTCGCCTGAGATGGTGTACTTGATGGCACCGTCACCCTTGTCTGAGTCCGAGTGGATCTGGAGGGCAGGAGGAAGGCAGGGTGGAAGCTGGTGCAGGGGCTCCTCTCGGCCTCCCCTCAGTCCCTCGAGGGGCCTGCTCCCTAAGATACACCCATGTCTTTGGTGAAGATGCTGAGGCCCGTGAAGCCACATCTCACTCGCCCTAGGCCAGGCTCACTGTGTCCAGCCTTGCCCTGAAATCTGCCTTCTCCTCTGCAGCCAGAGCTAACAGCCTAAGAGGTAGATCCCAACAGTGACCCCCTGCTTGCAACCCTTCTATAGCTCCCCATTGCCTTTACAAAGGAGTCCAAAGGCACCACCGTACTTCTGTGCTTTTCAGCACAAGGGGCCCTAGGGCTTCTGCTTACAGCTCCCTGTCTTTATTTCTCTGCCTACTGAAAGTCTACTCCTCCTGCAAGGCTCAGCTCAAATGCCACCTCTTCCAGGAAGCTTTTCAGGATTCCCCTCTATCCTCACCCTCACTTCCCCACCATTAACTCTGTAGTACATCAAGTCATCATTATCATGTCAGCTTTGCAGGACTGCTGCTGTAACCAGCGCTTCTCAAACCTTGATGTGTATGCAGATCACCTGGGGATCTGGTTAAAATGCAGATGCTGACTCAGTAGGTCTGGGGTGGGGCCTGAGGTATTTTGTTTTGTTT